TTTTTATATATATATATATATATATATATATATATATATATATATATATATATATATATATATATATATATCAGATTGTGCGTGCAGTACCTGTGGTGTATTTTCGGATCTGTTTTGCATTTTCTAAATAAAGTTCCACCGTGCATTGATCAGCAAATTGACCTCTAGACTGGTTTTCAAGGTGTGAATGCTAGATCATGTATATCGCACCAAAAAGCCAAGAACCAAAGACATTTAGATTTTAGCATCTGTATGGAAAAACTTTCCCTTCAAAACACCTGGAGTTTCTTTCAGCCCACAAAACCCAACAGATACGACTTGGGACAGTAATCCACAGACTTCATGCTGATTTTGTGATGCCACAACTATCCCAAACAGTCAACAGGTCTTTCACAGTGAAAGGCGTGTCAAAAAACAAGTTGAAATTTTTTAAAAACAAATTCTATAATTGCCTTGCACTGTACAGTGTAAAAAGAGATAACTGCTGAACTCTTCCTCCTTGTTGCACAAGTAGCATCTACTGCAAATGTTCATTCCCCTTCTTTGTTAATTGCCTTAAGTCAAACAAGCATCATGAGCTAGCAGCCACATAAAGCGGACTACCTTTTGAGGAATTTTAGTTTTCCATAACATCTTCCAAGGCCAATTAAGAGTACTATCCAGCCCCTTGTTTAAGTCACTGTAGTAAGCCTACTGAAAAAACACTATTTTGTTGCCTCAACCAGATTAGTTGGTCAGGTTCATCTAAGTCATCTTGTCCAGATCTTGTAGCAAGACAGCCAATCTTGGAACTTCCCAAGCAAGGCAGTCTTCTTAAGTTAACACGTCAGTTGTTTCAATTCCAACATTGGGATACAAGGTATTCTATATTAGTGGAAAAACTGTAAAGATCATTATATGCCGATCTAAGTGGAGTATGGCCAATACCTCTGTCCTGTCAGAATCTTGTCCTATCATCTACACTTTAATTCTCATTTTAGTTTCAAGCAAAGCCTGCAAAGGCCATAAGCTGAAACTGTGCTGCCAAAGGCCCAAGCCATGTGCAGGAGTTGTCCTGGATTGTAAAATGACTATCTATTGTAGAACTGTTGGCCATAATTTTCCTGGATTATAGAACTACTATCTATTGTAGAACTGTCCGCCATAAATGATAAAACTACTAAACCACTGACAGTGTTAGTATTTATGAGGTGTAGGAATGTATGAATGCCAATGATGAGGGTAGCTTCAACTAAATAGAAGTTGAGAAAACAAATACTTGCATATAAAACTACAATAAAATATGCATATTTATGGTTGTTATCAGATAGACATACAAATACAACTGAAGACACTCTATCACATGTCTTATCTTGGTTTTACGAGCCATATGCACATGACCAACCAAGTTTTCTTCTATCCTTTGATAGAATATTCATATAACGTCTTTAAATCCTTTTGAGGAAATTTGAATTGTTACCATTCAGAGAGATGTATAACATACATGAGTTGGATAATGTAGAGTGGTGGATCTAACAACAAATTGCTTGAACTAGCCTTTGGAGGAACTAAGGATGACGATCTTTGGCAGCTTGATACAAAAGTTTGAGAGAAGATTGAAGGGATGGAAAGAGCTACATCTTTCAGGAGAGAATTACTGTGATATAATCAACAATGTCAACCATTCCTATTCTTTTGCTGTCCACATTCCCTATCCCCACTTAAATTAGCAAAAAGAAAGTTGTTCATTGGTCGGCAGTGAAACTCAAATATAAGACCTTTATCTGCTCTATTACCTTGTTGGATTGTGTATATCACCTCATTTACAAGTTAAACTGTTAAAAATGGGCATTCAATTTTTATTCTGTGTCACAAGTTAAAGTCCCAGCATGTATAGATGGTTAGACTTCTGGCTGGCTGATGCACACTTGTATTTGTAAGAATAAAACTGCTGATTTATCCCCCAAAAAAAAAAATTCCTGCTTTTCGTGTATGTAAAAAGTCAGCGGAAGCAAACAGTGTAGACTTTTATCTTCCAGTATGGAGGGAGAGAAAAAGAACTAAACATAAATGTGAGAGTTTGATGTCAACATT